ATATATTTTTAATAACTTAATTATTTTGAGCAAATTTGTAATTTAAAATAAATAAAATTCAAATTTATATAAAAAATTATTAATTATTTAAAAATTTTATAAGTAAATATGTCATATACAGTATATATTATTAATATTAAAAATTATTTTTTAAAAGATTCTAAATAATGTTTTTAAATAATTGTTATATATTTTTTATTTTATTATTAGAAAGTTTTATATTTTAAATTCAAAATTTAAAAAAATTTTTAATATTAAAAAACTCTTTCCCCTAATCCTCTGATCACACACAAAAAAGATGTTTGCAAGAAGTTTTTATACTTTCTTGCAATTAAGTCTTAACACTTTCCTTAAAACAACTTGAAATATAACTTCAAGAGTTGCTTCTACCCTTCCCTTATTGTCTACAAATCTTTTTACTCAAAAACTTTACTTCTAGTGATCAAGAAAAGTCAAGTAATACCTTTTATATCAATGGCAAGAAGTTTCCAAAGGAAGAAGACTGACTGTAAAGTACCTGAAGATTTTTTTAACCTTTGAAGTGAAAGGCTTATAAAGGTTTTCTGCAATAAAAAGGCTTATTTTCTCCCTTTTTGATTGTTTTGATCCTCTTAGAGCTCCCATGTTTATGATTTTCTGGGAAATTTTATCTATCTTAGTTTGATCTTGAATTTTGAGCAGCACAAATCCTCACCAAAGGTAATTGCCGACACAAAATATATTAGTTTTTGAAATATAAATAAGTTTTTATTAGTCATACTCACATATCTCAATACATTATTGGTGATGTAGAAAAAAAAGTTCTAGAAAAAGTGTCACTTCCAACTATATATATTTAATCTCCAGAAAAAATTGTGATATTAAAAGGCAGAAATAGAAGATCCAACTTCCATTTCTCATTAAGTTCCTCAGGTAGTAAAAAGACTTTTTTGGATAAAAGCTGAGGTCTCTAAACTTCTATCCCAGTCAGACAAAGTTCTTGAAAAGATTTCTTTATCCAGTTAGGTAAACTCTTCTATAATATGGTACTGGCTTCTATAATATTAAACAAATCTATACATTAATAGAAGGATAAGTTTCTTAAATGTTCTTCTTAAAGTCACTTTCAGGAATAATTAAGTTCTTCAAACATCATAAAGCTTAGAGAATATCCCAATTAGGCAAACCTCTTTTAAGAGAAAACTGTAAAATGAAGCAAGAATCTTTTGAAGAGTTTTGAATTGTATTTTCCCTTCTCCTTTTTTTTCCTAGTGCCAACTTTAGCAATTCATCGATTTTCAGTATAGAAAATAGTGACAAACTATTGGCAATGATTCTGGTTGACTTAGAGGCTCCATATCAAGTTACTAGAAGAGTGTAATATTGTTTCCTAAATCTGACTTAAAGTATCTAGTTTAGACTTAGTTTTGTTTAATTCAAAATAGCTTAGTGGATTCCACATATTTTTTAAGTAATGTAGTTCTTTAACTAATAATATACAATGATGAGTTAGTCACTTTGTAAAAAGTTTGTAAATATTGTGGTATCTTTCAATATCTCAATAAAGATATACCATTGCTACATAATTGCAGGTTAAAAAAAAAAAATTTTTTTTTAATATTAAAATTTTATATATTTTAGTTAAAAGTTTATATAATTTATATTTTTATAATCAAAAGTCAATATCCTTATAACTAAAAGTCAATCTGACTTATATCCCTACTTTTTTCCTATCAACTATTTTAGGAACCCATCTTTAACCATAGTATATGGCTTATAATAGATCCCAAATTTTTATAGATATTGAAAAAATACATTTAGACATGTGGGATGATCAATAAAAATTTGTTTACATTCTTTTCCTAATATATTTTCTGCTAGTCAATTATTGCTTCAGAAACTTTGTGCTATTCAAAATTTAGAATCAAACTGAAATAGGTAAAATTTCTTAGAAAAAACCAAGAAAGATTATTCTTAGAGCTAATACATAATAAGAGAGTGGGTGGTTACCTTCAATATAAGTTTCTCATTATCAGAAAAGCTCTATATTGTTTTTTTAGCAAGTGAGTAGGTAGCAGTACTTCAGTTCTTCTTTTTTTTAGAACTTTCTTGCCTTGGTAGAAAAGGTGTATTCATAACTTTTGTTACTGTAAATTAGATTTTTGTTTGAAGAAGATTGTTTACAAAAGAAAGGAGTTAAAGATAACTCATAAAGTATTTTTTCAAGTTGGTTTAAGGAAAGTTATAAGACTTTATTAGTTAAGAAATATAAAAATTTCTTGCAAACATCTTTTTTGTATGTAATTAGAGGATTAATGAAAAGAGTATTAAATTATTATATTAAAAAACAATAATAATAATAATTTAATACTTTTTGAAAAATTCTTATTAATGTAAACAATTTCTCTAAAAAAAGATTTAACTAATTAAAATATTTTTTAAACTTTAGACTATTTAAAAAACTCAACTATTCTTGAGTATGGAAACTTCAAAAAAATATTTAAGAAACTTATCCTTTTATTCATATAAAGATTTACTTTTTACATTACTATATTTATACTAATATTACATTAAAGTAGAGTTAACCTGGTTGAAATAAAAAAGTCTATATAAAAACTTTGCCTGATTATAATAAAAGCTTAAAGACCTTTGCTTTCTTTTTAGAAATTCTTCTACTATTTAAAGAACTTGTTAAGAGATAGAGATGTTATATTTCATATCCTTTTTTTATCTTTTGATATTATTACTATCTTTTTTGATAATTTTCTTAATTAGAAAATAGCTTTTTTATAGACTTGTTTTTTTAATTATCAATAATATCATCAAAACATATGATTGTGATCAATAAGAGCTTATTTTTATTTCAAAAATTAATATATCTTGTATTGATCAATTACTTTTAATAAAGATTGTACTACTAAAAAATTTAAAGTCAAACAATTAGCAAGGAGAAAAAAGCCTTTTTATTATAATAAATCTCTATAAATTTTATTTTAAAAATAAGATAGAAAAGATTTTTAGATACTTTATAATTAGTTCATTTTTTTTTATACTTTCTTGTTATTAGTAATAAAGATATTACTTGATTTTTTTTTATTACTAGAAGTCAAGTTTTTAATTAAAAAGATTTATAAACAATAAGATAGATATAATAGTGACTCTTGAAGATACTTTTTAAGTTATTTTAAAGATAGTAATAAGATTTTATTAATCAAAAAGTTTAAAAACCTTTGATGAATATCTTTTTGTATATAATCAAAAGATTAGTAAAAAGAGTTTTCAGAAAATAAATTTTTTACTATTTAATGGTATAAAAAATTAAAGCTTATAAAAAATAGTTTTAATAATAAAATAAATATTTTAATTAAATAGTTAAAAGGAAAATTTTATAATATATCAATATATAAAATTTAGAAGAAAAAAATTTTATTGCAACTTAAAATAATTTAACTATTATTATTAGTTTTAGAGAATTTATTAAATATTGAAATAAAAAAAAATTGGTTTAAATTAAATTAGTTAAAAAATTTTTCAAAAATAGTAAAAAATAAAAAAATTAATATATATCAAAAAAATTTTTGAAGTTAATCTAACTTATAATTTATATTTTATAAATTTTTTAATATCAATAAAAAGAAAAGCTTCTTGATAAATCTAATATATAAATATGATAAACTACTTATTTCAAAGAAGAAAATCTGATATATATTTAATAATGATTTATTAAAAATGTAATATTTATTATAATATTCAATAACTTGTTTTAATAGAATAAAAAATTTAAAAAGAAACAAATGATAAATTGATTTAATATTTAACAAAAGAAAAAAAGATTATTGAGATAAAAAAAAATCTATTTATAAAAAAACTATTAATAAAATATAATAACAAGAATAAAATTTTTATAAGTTGATTTGAAACTATATATTATATATAAGAATAAAGTCAATATTATTTAATAATATCTTGAGATTTAACACAAAATAAAAAGATCTGAAATAATTGTTGTATTGCTATAATTGAATAGAAAAAATTTATAATACAAAAAACAATGTCTTAAGAAATAAGATTACCTATAATATAATAGATTTTGAAAAAAAAAACAGATTCATACTTGAAAAGAAGACACTAGAGAATATATATTCAAAAGGTAATATACATTTGAAAAAAGTTATTGAAAAAAATGAATAATATAGAAAAAAAAAAACAATTATATTTTTTTGTTTAATAAAACTTTGAGAGATTTACAATAATAATTTATAAGTAAGACTTTATTATTAAAGGATAATCCAAATTATAAAGGGAGCAAAATATTATTCCCTAAGTTGCATCTAAAGAAGAAAAACTTCGACAGTTAGTAAGCTGATATGCGAAAGTAATTTAAATTGTAATTACTTCTTTTAATACACAATAAAAAAAAGGCCATGTCAGCCTCATAACAGATTATAAAAAAAAAAAATAATAATAATAATAATTAATAATAAAAATCGATAGACTTTTATGAATTTCCATATAATCTAATAAATATTAGTGTTTTTTTATTATACTCTAGTCTATTTTAGAATTTATATCAATGAGCAAAACGCACGGTATAAATCGAGTTTCTCGCAATCGCTTGCCAACTCTACTACTAAAGGAACATTGGCACTCACAAAAAAAACACTTCCAGGTCCTAAGCGCTCTGATCTATCCTCAACCACTAAATTACCTTTTCCCTCAATAATAATAATAATACTGGGACCTGCAATACCCTCATATGCTTCCTTTTTATTCTGGGGATTCAGCGTTGCCAATAAAACCGAAAATTCTTCAATGGGAGGGTCATATAACAAGGAACTCTTTGAATTGTTGTACGGAATAGGAGTAAGAATTTGAGATTCTGCATTTCCGTATCTATAAGTTAGCATGTCCAAAAGCACGGCAACATCTTTAAATTTGGGTGTCAACCCCGCTCGAATTACATTATCACTTGCTGCCATGCATTCTACGCAATCTATTAATAATAAATAATATATTAAATAAAGGTATAATTAAAAATCGTTAAAACTTTAAATTTACCTCCGGAAAGATATGCGTGAGGTTCATTTGCACCCAGAAAAATTGCTTGACTTGGTTCTAATATTACGTGATTTAACATCAAGACACAAAAGATTCCTACATCTCCGGGGAATTGTTCGTTCAATCTAATTAAAAGTTCTTGAACACTCCCCACTAAGATATCGCTTGACTCTAGCCGTGAAATCAACTTTTTAACCTGAAAAGTCACGATATCTGCATCAGCAGTCATCACGGCGGCGAAGAGTTGACGAAGAGCGGTCTTATTCGATAAAATATTCTCATGGACGTTAGAATCTTCTTTACCAGTCACCGTCTGAATGAAGTGTGATGATATATCACTACCTACGAGTTCCCTAAATTCAGGGTACTTGGAGAGAAAAGATAATATCTCTTCTAATGGTCGAAACCCACACAGGGCCTCAAATCTTGTGATTGCCACAGCCATTTCAGGTTTATGATTGGGATCTGTTAATGTCGAGTCCCAAAATTAACTTAGTATATGCATATCTATATTTTGTTTTAGGTAAAGTAGTAGACATTTACCTTTGTACAGATTTGGGAATTTTTCAAATAGTTTCTTTCCAAGCACCTTATCCGGATGGGCTTGAATGGAAAGTGCTTTATTTACAGACAAGACCTTGAACAAGAAAGGCAAATCACCATAAATTTTGGCAATTTCCGAAGTGAGAACTTCCGGGTTAGACTTTATAATATCTTTCAAATAGACAGTAGGTTGCCCTGCCAGAACACTTGGGCCATTTGGATGTGTACCCATCCAAAGCTTGAAGAGTTAATTAATTAGACATTTGCTTTTTACAAAACGTCACCAATTGCTTTGAACTTTACTTACCTCAGCATATGGTTTATCATTCTCAACGATAAAATCCCCAATATCCTTTGCAAATTGTGATACTTTACTTTCTTTTCCTATTTTTCCCCAAGCATAAGTTTGAACAGCACACTTTAAGCGGTAGACTGACATCTTTTGGTTATACTTTAAATGATCGATACGTATTGAATGTGATCAGTGAAATTTTATCATGTGATTATATATAACTATATCCTGAAAAAAAAAAAAAAAAAAACAAAACATGCAGGCCTGTGTAAGAAAACTTGCACAAACCACATTATGTTTGCACACACTGTGCAAGTCAATTCTAAGCACTGCAGGTAGGTTTGTTGATTTTATCAATGTTTAAAATTGGCGAAGAATTTTAACCTCATTTATTTAGAAAAAATCGGCAAAGTATCTCTCGAAGATAAACTTGATAAAACACATTTCAGAGAAGGAGATATGGTAATCTTACGAGATACTAAAAGAAGAGTTCAAGGCCCGATAAAAATTTTAATCGGTCCTTTAAAGATTGGAATTAAAGAAAAAAATAAATTAAATGAGACCATAGAACATGACTTAATAATTGGAAAACCGATCCGGTCGATTGTCAAAACCAAATCAAGTAAGGACACAAATGAAACATGGTCGAAAACATTTTATAACAACTATTTTCTTGAATTTATAGGAAAGACTAGTAGATATTCTACTATTCATTTTCCAACATTGGATGAGTATGTTATTTGGGCGAGATCGTTTAACAGAATTCTAAAACTAATTAAACATTTTATTTTTAAGATACTGTCTTTATGTGTCGCGTGTAAAGGCGCCTATTTACCCTAAAGATGCCAGTACTATAGTAATGTTGTAATTGAACGAATCATGAATTTATTGCTCGAGGTATCTTATTAATTTCTTCGAGAATTCCTTTTTTGATAGATATCATTACTTGATATAGGTCCGTACTCAAAAATTATGGAGGCCGGTACTGGAAATGCATCTTTAACACTTCATCTAGCTCGATATTTATATCCAACTGGTCAGCTGCATTCAATCGACGTGGACCCCATAGCCAGTGCTAAGGCTAAAGAAACTGTTGCAAATTTTTCTCGTGGCATTTATTCCGACGTCGTAAAATTTAGTGCGGGAATGTGTTCAAAAGTATTAAAGGACGATCCTCATTTGTACGACGGTATAGTATTAGATATTCCTGAACCATCGAGCGAACTATCTGCAGCCATATCGAAATTGAGAATAGACAGATTTATTATTTGTTATTTGCCGAATATGAACCAAGTGTTGTCGCTGTTTCAGTTCATCAGAGCTCAAAAATTGCCACTGGAATTAAGTAAAGTTTTGGAGGTACAGTGGAGACCTTGGGATGTTAAAGCAACAGTTATAAGAAGTAAAATGGGTTCTGAACCTTTCTCAGTAAAACAACTAGTAAATAAGGACGAGATACCAGATGAAGCTATAGGTTATATTTGTCGACCTTCACATGAACCTACAGCGCATACTGCTTTTTTGATGTGTTTAGAAAAAACTGATCGAAATTTCCATGTGGATATACAAGACACTTCACAATAGCATATATTATTTTTGTATTAGTTTTTATGCATTATCCAATGAAATGTGAGTAATAATAAAAAATACTAGCTGATTAAATATAAAATTGTTCATTAAGCAATAATTAATTAATGTTTCAAATAAATATATAATTTATTGTAAATATTAAATACTTTATTTTATACTCGTGTATTAATATTTAGAATATAAAACATAGTTTTTTAGTTGCAAGTAAAATTTGTGAATTAATTTTTTTTTATTTCAAACTACTTAAAAATTAATTTTTTAAATTATTTGATTTATTATATTTAAATTCATAATACTATTCAAATTAATAATAATTAAATAAAAATTCAAAGAAAATAAATAAAATGATATAGAATTCAATATATAATGTTATAATTTATATAAAAAAATATTTGATTTTCTCTTTTACTAATTATTTTAACTATTTTTTTCAAAATCAATATTTATTTAAAGTTTTTATATTTATAATTAATAAAGAATTAAAGTTAATTGAAGTAAAATTTGATTTTTTAATTAAAATAAATAGATATAGAAAATAAATAATAATAAAAATATAGTATACTATGGATCAATAATATAGTTATAGTACTTTCAGATTATAATTATAAGATCTGTAATTCATTATTACTTAAGAATCAAAAATTTAATAATATCTTCTAATCAAGTTTACTAATTATTTTATAAAAATCATACTCAATTATTTTAAACAAGATTATATTCAAGTTAGGTTATATAAAAATAGAATTTTTGATCTTTCATTGATTAGAAATTGAAATTCATGATTATATTACTAAAAGAATTACATAAAGAAAAACTTCTGATCTAATTTTCAAATAAAATTCCAGTCCCAATAAACTTTAAGATTCTTACTTTTTTAGCTTAAGATATTCTAATATGATACTTTGTTTAATTAAAAATTGATTAATGGGAATCAATTCAATATTATAAGTGGTGATAAAGAAGACACATGTCATCTTTTGAGGTCTGAATGAATAATATTTAGGAAATATTAAAAGATATAATATATCCCATCAGGTGCTTACTAAAATAGAACTAGTTTAATAAATATAATAAATAATATAAGCTCAATACTAATTAACCTAAACTTACTATTTATAACTATATATTAATTATTTGGTCTTTAATTTTTTTTTTTTTTTAAAACTGACTCATCATGTATTGCTCCTGGTAACTTTATTAAAAGAAGATCATATTTAGGAACAATCAGGATGAATATTTTTCCATACTGTTTGAGGATTTACAGATCATTTGAAAGGAAATAGTATAAAGGACTACCTATTTATATAACTCAATCTAAGTCTAACCTAACCAGAATAAAGAAAATACATGACCACTTAGTGTAAATAATCTCTTTTAAAAACAAAGAAGTGATTGATCAAATATACTCAAAGGTGCATTTCTGGTTACCTCCTACCATTAGGTTAAGTACTATTTAGGATTTTAATTCATCGATTGATTTGTTGTCATCTACTAGAGAAGCCTTACTTGCCAGAACTTGTTTAAGATACTTAGTACCAATTGATACTAGAATTTTTTATACTAGTTAAGAACTAGTCAGTGTTAAAAATATAAGGGTAAAAAGAAAGAAAGAAAAAAGTGAAAAGAGAAATGTTCAAAATATTTACAAGAAGAGAAAAGGAGGAAAGAAAAAGGGATACCTAACTATAGTTCTTCCATCCAACTTTGTTTCTGAAGAAATACTCTTTCTATAGTCATGATATTTTCAGGGGGTAATAAGAGAGAGGAAACCATAGCCTATGTAATATTTATCTATCTGCATAACTAGTTAATGACTTATAATAGATCTAAGGTTCTTATGGATTTTAGGAAATACATTCATATCTCATATCATATGTATTCTTGTTTGATCTTAGAAAACGCATTCACATCTCATGTCACATATATCCTTGTTTATATTTTTGTTAACAATAAAGCAATCAATTCCAATTTTTAGTTAATCAATCTATCTAAAATCTGATATAACAAAAAATTTAGAATCAAGTTGAGATAGGTAAAATTTTCCAAAATTCCAAGAAAAACTGCTGCACATTGAGAGAGAAGCTATTTATACCTATAGTATTAATGTCAGTTTCCTAGGCTGACATGGAGTTATTGACCTACACTTCTTACTAGACTTTGGAACCTCTATAGGGAAGAGAAAGAAAGTATTTTTTTATCTGATTTCTTCTTCCTAGAAAAGCTTTCTTGCTATTAACTTCTTAGATAAAGAGTTTTTGAAAAGAAAAAGTAAATAAAGAGAATAGAATATGACTACTGCTAAATGAAGCAGGTGTTTTTAAGGAGGGTTTTGAAGTTTTATTACTCTCAAAATATAGAGTTTTAAAGGAATGCTTCTTTGAAAGTGGTGGTTAGGGATTTACAGAAAAGAGTTGATTGGCCAATAGATATACTGTAAATCCTATCTACTTTGATTAAATTAGAGAAATTAAATTAACCTCTAAAGGATTTGAACCTGCATCTTGTGATTTGACCTATAGAGTGCTAACCATTGCACTATAGACCTATAGGTTGTTTGATCTCTAAATAGATCTATTCACTTTTATAGTATTATTAGATCTATCTAGTACAAACAATATTAGGTTATCATTAATTTACATATATATAACTTGTATAAGATAATTAATATCATATTACTATTAAATAAATTCTTAATAAAAAAAGTTTATATCTAATATTAATTGCAATTTAAAAAAAATAATAATAATAAAAATATAGTTTTAAAATAAATTTATTTTATTTAAAATTTATAAATTTATAAAATATATAAACTCTTTCCGTTGATCTTCTGACTACACACAAAAAAAGATGTTCACAAGAAGTTTTTACACTTCCTTACTAATAATGTCTTAATACTTTCCTTAAACCAACTTTAAGTATGACTTTAAAAGCCATCTTTACCTTTCCCCTATTGTTTACAAATCTCTTCACTCAAAAACTTGACTTCTAGTAACCAAGAAAAGTCAAGTAATACCTTTGATACCAATGGCAAGAAAGTTCCCAAAGGAAGAAGAACTGATTGTGAAGTACCTGAAGGTCTTTTTAACCTTTGAAGCGAGA